GGTTTTCAGTCACTGATATATGGTTTGCTTCTATCTCTCTCTCTCTCTCTCTAACTAAATAATTGTTCAAACGAGACTAAATAATATTTGTATGTATATTAAGTGACTATTACTTGGACATGTGGATACAAAATCAATAAAACATAATCCTATGTGGAATGGGGCTGAATTGGCGAGGAGACATGGCGCTTTTCTACTAGGACACCGATAATTGACCGAAATAGGTAGCATATGATGTTTTATGGTATGTGGCGATGTGCTTATATGTTCTCACTTCCCATAATAGCAACTTACTTCTATTTTGTTAACAATAATAGTAATATGTAAAACAAAATTTGTAAGAATTTTACAAGTTTCAGGTTATATTTCTGTTAACGATAAAAACATGAAGTATGTTGCTATTACAGGTAATATATATTAAGTATGTTGTTATTTTTTATTATGCTTTCATATAATCATTTACTCATTAGTAATATTAGACAATGGATATAATGACATTCAGAGTAAAATTTATTTGGTTTGTTTTCAGGCTCCACAATTGTTTGATTTGCTACACAATATTTGGTAAGCTACCAAAACGAAAATAGTATTTTCTTTTTAATTTTTGTTTTTTTTTACTCTTTTATGTTTTCTTTTGGGCGTAAGTTTGGAGGTAATATGTTTGATTAAGGGGACCACAACCCACCAAGAGGGTTTTGAATTTTTGATGGCCAATTTTGGGGATTGGTGATACGATAGGAGTGTGTTTCTGAGTTTATCAACTTTGAATTCCTCCCACCCCACTTCTATGAATGGTAAAATCCATCAAACTTAGGAATTGAAGGAATTTTACAAATTGAATTTCATCCATTTGGCAAGCAAACACGCATTGGAACAGAATCGAAATTCCAATTCGTAGTTCTATAAACTTTGTTGCACAATCTAAATGAATATGACACTTTTTTTTTCCAGTTAAGTAACGGCGGAATGCTTACCCTGCATGTCATATAATTAGTTGTAGGGGTTTATAATGTGAAAATGTTTATGTAACGAAAAAAGTAAGTTTTTTGCTTTTATGAACAAACTGCCCCTGTTTGTAGGTTTTCCTGCAATTATGACCGAATTGCCCATGTCTGTGGGTTTTAAGAGGACTGATGCAATAAATGATAATAGATTTCTATGGCTTGTATTTTCAAAAATTTGTTTTTGTATTTTTAAATTTTATGTTGTAAAAATATTAGATTGACCAAATTGTTGGTTTTGCTACGTTATTATATACAGTTTTATGACCAAGCCGCCACTGCATTTTTGCTACAATTATGACCAAGTTACCCCTGCAGTTAAGTTGTCCTTATACATACGATGTTTTCTTTCTATTCTTCTTTTTGGAAAAAATAGCTGATTTACATATAATAACAACATACTTTGCCTAAAATGCAAAGTATGTTGCTACTGCGTGTATGTAATGTAACAGACACCATTTCTATTACCTGTTGTCATTTATTTCAGCTTTATGGACCATTTTTTATTACATTTCAGTGCAAAAATATGTTGCTCTTTCTTGACAGCAACAATTATAGCAACCCCTGTTGTCATTTATTTCAATTTTCCGGATCATTTTTTCGTCCATCATCTTTTCTACAAGTACAAAATCCTCAAGAAACTCCCTCAAGAACGATTGATAAACGATGACACCATCTTTGACGCAATGTCTTTTATCGGTTGGCAAATCCAATCCCCGCAAAGCTGGGCTTCTTATCTAGTTAAGATAAAGTGAGAATCACGAACACATTCGAAAAATACAGTATGTTCGTTACAATTGTCCACATGTTGTACTTCCATCTAAGGATTCTTCAGAAAAGTCCTAATATTTTGGAAATATATTTAATAAAGTCCTAAATTTTATTTTTTGAACAGAAAAGTCCCGACTTTTTAACTTTTTGAATAGAAAAGCCCAAGAAACCGATTAATTTATTCACTTTATCCATTTTGACCTGTTCGGTAGCTCATGGGACAAAATCATTATTTTTTCCAAAATAATAGGACTTTTCTGAAAATTTCGTCAAAACTTGTATATAATGTATAAACGTATTTTTTACGCATTTATGTCTATTATATATATATATATATATATATATATATATATATATATATATATATATATATATATATATATATATATATAAGTTTTTATATGTATATGTTTATGTATTTTTAAGTATTTTAGATATATAAACGTATTTTTTTTTACATATTCACATGTATTTTTAAGTATTTTACACATTTTAATTGTATTTTTATGTGTTATTTTTTATGTATTACGTATTTATATTTATTTTTATATTATGTATTTTTTTAAGTTTTTATATGTATATGTTTACATTTTTTATATATTTTAAATGTATAAACGTATTTTTTATGTATTTATATGTATTTTTAAGTATTTTACACATTTTTATTTATTTTATGTGTTATTTTTTTAAAGTTTTTTATATATATTTTTTTGTTTTTTTATGTATTTTAAATGTATTAACGTATTTTACGTATGTATAATAATATATCTATATATATATATATATATATATTATATATATATATATATATATATATATATCTATATATACTATATATATATATATATATATATATATCTATATATATATATTATATATATATATATATATAGGGAAGGGTTATTTGGAAAACAAAAAAAACCCTAAAAAATCATAAAAATGCATAAAAAAATACCTAGACATTACAAACTTTTTTTTGAATTTTTTATCAAAAAATTGCAGCCTTTTTGACAATTTCGCTGAAAAAAAAAATCAATTTTTTTTTTTGTAAAATTTTTTTTTTCAAAATTTTTTTCAGCGTTTTATGTTAAAAGCTGCGATTTTTTGATAAAAAAATTCAAAAAAAAGTTTGTGTGATCTCTAAGTATTTTTTTATGCATTTTATGATTTTAGGGTTTTTTTTGTTTTCCATAGAACCTAAACCTATATATATATATATATATATATATATATATATATATAATATATATAGATATATATATATATACATATTTTTTAATGTATTTTTATATGTTTTTATGTATTATATATATATATATATATATATATATATATATATATATATGCAGTTTTAGGTATTTATGTATTTCAAATGTATAACTGTATTCTTTTATGTATTTATGCATTTTTTTTACTTCGGGTCGTCTAAACCATTTTATCCAATTCGTACAACTTTTTCAAGTATGTCTACATAGTTTTCCCACGTACCTACATTGTTTAAGTTTTTCCCATTCACTTATCTTAAAATTAAACATCGAATATGAGAAACTTAAATCATGTAGGTATGTTGGAAAACAATCTAGACATACTTGAAGAACCTGTGCGAATTAGATGAAATAATGAAGACGACTTGAAGTAAAAAATACATAAATACTTAAAAATAATACGGCTATACATTTAAAATACATAAAAATAAACAAACATTTATATAAAAAAGTTTAAAAAAATACGTAAATACGTAAAAATACATATAAATACGTAATACATAAAAAACACATAAAAATAAAAAAAATATGTAAAAACTTACAAAAAATATGTTTATACATTTAAAATACATAAAATACAGTAACATCTATATAAAAAAGTTAAAAGATACATAAATCATGGTTGTCAAAATCGCGATCCTGATCGTAGGATCGTACGATCCTACGATCCTAGGTATGAAAAACGATCCTGATCGTATTTGGAGTAGGATCGCAGGTAGGATCGTAAGATCGTAAGTAGGATCGTAAAAAGATCGTATTTGGAGTAGGATCGCAGGTAGGATCGTAAGATCGTAAGTAGGATCGTAGGATCGAGATCCGATCCGATCCTACCTCCATTGATTTTTTTTTTTTTTTTATTTATTTTTTTTTTTTTGCTAATGAGTTTTTTTTACTATTTTATGTCTTTTACCTTTACCAATTTAGCATTTATCATTTTGTGTAGCGACTTATGACTAATATTTTGAAGTTTTTATAACTTTTGAACGAAAAATTGAATGTTTGTTCTATTTTTCATTATTAAAAATTATAAATTAAAATTATATTTTATTTTGTGGGATCTTAGGATCCCGATTCCGATCTTACGATCCCGATCTTGCAAACCCAAAAACGATCCTACGTAGGATCCCGATCTTGACCACCTTGACATAAATACATAAAAATGCATATAAATACGTAATACATAAAAAATACATAAAAATACATTAAAAATATGTAAAATACTTAAAAATACATATAAATACATAAAAAATACATTTATACATTTAAAAAAATAAACATCTATATAAAAAACTTAAAAATACATAAATACATAAAAATACATATAACTATGTTATACATAAAAAATAACACATAAAAATACATTAAGTCTATGTAAAATTGTTAAAAATACATAAATACGTAAAAATAGATATAAATACGTAAAAAATACGTTTATACATTATATACAAGTTTTGACGAAATGTGCAAAAATGTCCCATTATTTTGGAAAAATTAACGATTTGGTTTATGACCTATTGAACAGGTCAAAATGGGCTAAAGTAAATAAATTAACCGGTTTTTTGAACTTCCTATTCAAAAAGTTAAAAAATCGGGACTGTTCTGTTAAAAAAAAAAAAATTAAGACTTTATTAAAATTTTCCCGAAACTATTAAATTTTTTCTTGAAATTTTCCTTCTATCTAATTTACTGTATAAAATAAGTCGATCATTTAACAAAGTTGTGGATATTAAGTTCTGGAATGAATAATTGGATCCTCAAACGACTCACAGTTACAAGTTTCACTTTCTTTTCTTTTTTGTTTTTTCTTTTTTTTTAATAATAAAAATCAGGTCAACAAAACATTACAGGTTCGCCCCTGCTTATAAACTTAGACTGTGTAGGGTTGGGATTGCTACTTCCAAGTTCCAACCATTCAAATAGGAAACAAATGATGTAACTCTATCAACAGCTCAATGAGCACCATATGGGACGGGGCGAGGGGATTGGATTGGGGTTAAGTTTTAGGGCTGATTTGTGTTTGGAGTTAATGGTGGTTATGAAGGGGCAAAGTTCAGGGTTATTGGGACCAAATTTAGACCCACCAACAACAACAACCATGGTGACTTTTTAGGATGAGAAGCTTTAGAAGCAATTTTCACATAAACTGTTTTCCGACTACAAGTTTCTTCAGAGAGGTCGAAGAGATCTCAATCCTAAATTGAACGAATTGGTACAAATGAATTCAAAATGACAAATCGTTCATGCAAAGCATATCTGATGCTTACCTGTTCAACAACAGGTTGAGTATTGCTATGGAAAAGTGTTACATTGCCTGGTAGAAACAAGTAAGTTGCCCAATTTCCGATTTTATCCCTTTTTAGCAAATAATCTTATCCTCTTCTTTGACTAAACAAGTGGCTTTTGTTTCTCCTCATATTTACATAGATCTTATCCTCTTCTTTGATGACGTTCACATAACCACCAGTACTAGAATCATATCTTCTATAAACTTACATCTTAGTTTCTTTACCATTGTTTCATATAAATTTTCCCCATCAAATAAATTGTCTTACAGCAGGATCCTTCAAGCATGCCGTCAATGACGTCTTCTTCAACTTCACCCGTTACAAAGAGCTTTAAGTATGACGTATTTTTGAGTTTTAGAGGTGAAGACACTCGTAAGAACTTCATCGATCATCTTTATTATGCTCTTCAGCAGAAAAGCATTTCCACTTACAAGGACGACGAGAGAATCGAAAAAGGGAATAGAATCAGTGATGAGCTCATGGAATCCATTGCAGACTCAAAATTCTTCATTATTGTTTTCTCCAAGAACTATGCGTCTTCATCTTGGTGCTTGAATGAGCTTCTAAAAGATAATGGAGTGTCACAAGACAACAGAGCATACTGTTTACCCCGTATTCTATGATGTGGAACCCTCTGAAGTCCGCAATCAGATCGGGGCAGTTGGAGAAGCATTTGCCAAACATGAAAATGAAGAGGTTGCTGGGAAATGGAGAAAGGCTTTGAAAGAAGTAGCTGATGTGGCCGGGTGGGAGTTGAAGAACACTGATGGGTAATTCCTTCATCATATCTCCACAGTATTCTTTCATTTTGTTTCTTTCTTATCTATGTTTATCTTGGATGTAAAAGGGCTCAGACATGGCTTCTCATGTTGGATTGTCAAATCTTTACTCAACCCCGGTGTCTTGAATGATTAAACATGAAATATGATTATATTACAATGTTATTACCTCATACATGTTTGTATGTGTGATTTTGAGTAAGGTAACTGAATCTTCTCTAAAATATAGGCATGAAGCAAAATTCATCCGACAAATTGTTGAAAAGCTTTCACTAGAGTTACGCGCCATCAATGTCCGCATCGATAAAAATTTAGTAGGCATGGAGACTCGGATCAACGATATTATATCATCTTTAGGAACTGCTTCAGATGATGTTCACATGATTGGGATCTGGGGGATAGGAGGTGGTGGGAAGACGACTTTGGCTAGAGCGATTTTTAATAAAATATCCTTTCAGTTCGAAGGCAAAAGCTTTATTGAGAATGTGAGGGAAGTTTCAAAAGCTTCTTTGAATTCCTTACAAAGTCAAATCCCTTTAAATGGTGGAAAGGTTCTTCTTGTTCTAGATGATGTGGATTGTATGGACCAGCTTGAGGCGTTAGCTGGTGACCCTAGTTGGTTTAAGCCTGGAAGTATAATTATCATTACGACAAGAGACGAGCAAGTGTTGGTAGCACATGGAGTGAAATTGATTCATAATGTCAATCTGTTATCAGATAAGGAAGCAATTTGGCTCTTTAGTAGGTATGCATTTGGGAAAGAGATTCCAGTTCAAGGATACGAAGAGCTATCAAGACAAGTTGTATGTTATGCTGCTGGTCTTCCATTGACGATCAAAGTTTTGGGTTCATTTCTCTGTGGTAAAAGTAAGCCTGAATGGGTAGATGCCCTAGCCAGACTAAAAACAATCCCGTTAGAGGAAACTCAGAAGAAGTTGGAATTAAGCTATATCAGTCTAGATGAAGAACATAAGGAAATATTCCTGGATGTTGCAACCATCTTAAAAGGTTGGCTGAAAAACTCAGCTATCGGAGCACTTGAAAGCTGTGGATTTTATGCTAGAATTGGTTTAAGAGTTCTTGAGCAAAAGTCTCTCATAACTATTGATGATGATGAGTGTTTGGGCATGCATGACCATTTAAAAGAAATGGGCAGGAATATTGTTCGTCGTTCGCACCCCGATATGCCTAACAAACATAGCCGGTTGTGGGATGGCAAGGAAATTGAAGATATATTGGCTAATGACATGGTAAGATGGAGAAACTAACACATTTTCATTTGTTACAAACATGTTTCATGTTTATTGCTTTTTTGTTACAGGGTACTGAAGCAACCAGATGTATAAAATTCTACTATAGGGGACTGGATCCGCAAATCACTATGAAAGGTCTTAGAAAGATGAAAGAACTTCGTTTTCTTGATGTGACCGATGATAAATTTTACTCGGATCCGAAAATTAATAAACTCATCCCAAACTGTCTAAATGGTTTAGAAGTTGTATGGTGTAATTGGAAATCTAATAAAGTTAGCCTGTACATTCCGGATGCGTTAAGATATTTGCGTTGGTACAATTATCCTTTTAGGTCTTTACCAAAATCATTTCAAGCAAATAACCTTGTTGCACTTGAGATGGCTGAAAGCGGTATCGTACAACTCTGGAAAGGGGGAGAAAAAAAGGTAGAATTGTTTTGCATGATTCATTATAATATTGTTGTACATCCATTGGTTTGTTATTATACCAATATTAATTCATTTTGTTATTTTGCTTATGTTAGGTTCTTAACAAGCTCAGATTCCTTCACCTCAGTGGTCCAAAGTTGAGGTCCCTTGACCTTGGGTTGACTCCAAATCTTGAGACATTGACGCTGGTCAAACATGTACATGGACCTGGACCTGGTGGTTTGGTAGAACTTCACATGCCCGGTGAATGTCTAAAACTCAGATTTCTTGAACTTGATCATGTAAAGTCAAGGATGTTTGACCTCGGGCTGACTCCAAATCTTGAAAAGTTGTATCTAAGACGTGATTTGGTAGAACTTCACATGCCTGATACATGTCCAAATCTCATATCCCTCCATTTCAGCTTTTCAAACTTGAGGACCCTTGACATTGGACGGACTCCGAATCTCGAGGATTTATATGTGTCCGGTTGTTATGATTTGAAAGAACTTCACATGGCTGATAAATGTTTAAAACTCAGATCCCTCTGCCTTGTTGGTTTAAAGCTGAGGACCCTTGACATTGGGTCGAGTCCAAATCTTAAGAGGCTGGATCTTCATGGTTGCAATGATTTGGAAGAATTTCTCATTGCCGAATGTCCAATGCTCACATTCATCAAGATTGAGTGTTTAAAGTTGAGGACCCTTGATCTCAGTCTGGTTCCTAATCTCAATAAGTTGTTTCTTTCTGAATGCAAAGATTTGGTAGAACTTCACTTGCCTGGTAGATCTATAAATCTCATCACCCTACAATGCACTAATTCAAAGTTAAGGACCCTTGACATTGGGCTGTCTCCCAATCTCACTGGATTATATCTTACAGATTGTTATGATTTGGAAGAACTTCAACTGGTCGATCAATGTCAAAAGCTTGTATCCCTCAAAATTAGTCATTCAAAGTTGAGGACCCTTGACCTTGGGTTGACTCCAAATCTCGAGAAGTTAAATCTTAGAAAATGTTATAACTTGGTAGAACTTCATGCTCCCATCGGATGTCTAAAAAATCTTGTCCACTTAGACTTAAGTGGATGTTTGGCGTTTAGATCTTTTTTGTTTTGCTTAACAGATAAGACTACTGGTCTAGTGAATGAATCACTTGAGGTACTTCCTTTAGCCGAGTTATATTTCATCCTAAAAATTTGCCCATTTCACCCCGACAATCATTTGCTGAAGTTTGAGTTTAGATGTTTTCATGAAGAAGATCTACCCTCATTGACTAGAAGTCTTGAGAAGCTTATTTCTGCACGTCCATGTGCTTGCACAGAAATTGAGAGGTTTTCAAGAAGCATTTGTAGGTTACAACGTTAAATAAAGCTTAAACGCAATGGTAGTAATGCCGAGGTACCCAAGAGGAGTTATGTTTGTTGTCTACATCTTCTACACATAAGTCTTATCGGCTTTTGAGAAGTTACCCAAAGACATTTGCTGATTAGATCAGATGTCCAGAGCAGCAAGATTTGTTCCAGATCTGTTGGAACATGTAGAGAGGGCTTCTTTCAGTCGTGTGATTTTACATCCACAGCAAGCACCTACAACAGGAACTATTCTACAAGGTACTTTCTCAGTTTTCCGTGAATCATGCATCTTACTTTCATCTCAATTTTTAATATTTTCATCCAAAAATCAATAATTATATATAAAAAAGGTACAAGTACTATAGATACAGGAAGAGCCCATGCCCGTGTTATAGTTTTAAGCTTGGCTTCAGAGAGTAGCTTCTTTATCGCTTGTGTTAAATTTGGAGTCTTATTCGAGGTTAAAACCAAATCCAAGTGGTGAAGTAAGAATCAGATGTTGAAATCTGACAACTCGTGTGGATTTTATGCAAATTACCACACAGTCTATCTAGTGTAGTATATTCCATTTCTTTTTGCATCTTTTGCATATGAAAATGTGTTTGTGTTACTATTTGTCCTACTAACATTTGAACCATTCCTGCAATTAGGAGTTCTAGGAGGTGGTCTACACACAAGGACAAGGTGATTTGAGAAGGTTGAGGAGAAGCCATCGATCTTGGTTATCACTTTGCATCTTCACCTTTGCACACCTAATCTCACCACTCCCCATCTCCATCCCCATCCCAACCCATACACAAACTTGCAACTAAACCCAAATCGGAAAATGAAGAACACAGTTGAAGAACAAAAAATGAAGAACGAAGATGGTGGTGCATTTCATCTTCGAGGTACATAAGGATTGTCCTTTTTAGACATTTGCTGGTGGGACGATGACATCTACAGAAAGAGCAAAGATCGTTTCCAGCAAAAGCCGACCACCTCGATGCTGATCTTCCTGGGTTTGACCTACCTTCAAGCCGATTCCAGCAAAATCCCACATTCTTGTCAGACATTTGCTGGTGGCGATGGTGATTATAGGAGGCGAATCAAGTTTTCTGAATTTAAAAATCGAGTGGGGTACCACGTAGGAGTGGGATGTTTTTTATTTCTTTTTTCTTTTTCTGTAAATTTATTTGGGAAATCTCCAGAAAAATCCTAAAATTTTAGACTAATTTATGAAAAAGTCCCGAACTAATTTTTGTTTACAGAAAAACACATAATACCGGTTAAAACTTCGAAAAAACCCTTTTTGGCCGGTTTCGTTGATTTAGTCGGTATTCTGTCCTTTTTCATTAGTTTGCTCAAAATATTAGGACTTTTCTGAAAATTACCCGATAACCGAAATATTGGGACTTTTTTGAAAATTACTATGAAATTAATGGATATTATTATTAACAAATCATTTATAAACATAAAAAATATTTTTTATTATAAACAAAGGAAATACATTTGCTGCTAATTTTTAGAAATATAATGATCGACTATGTACTTCTCTATTGTTTGTTGACCACTTCAAAGTCTCTTTGTTCTTCCTATGTATCGTTGTGGGTGTGATAGTGAGAAGTACTCTGTTGGGCGTGACCATACAAGAGTTGATAATAACACGAACATATAGATCTTTCATTATGTTCTTTAACCTAACTACCACCTAACCTCCAAACATTACCCGATAACAACCATAAAATTACAAACATCTATCGAGAGTGAAAAGTAAACTTTGAACGATAATTTAAATAGATAATCACCCTTCACTTGTTTCCATATAAATTATCATTTACGGTTCACTTTTCACATTTTATAGATGTGTGTTAGTCGATGGTTGTTAACATGTGAGGTATGAATGTTGGTTGGTAGTTAGGTTAAACAACATAAGAGGAACACCAACATTAGAGGAATGCTAACTAAGTACATATCACCATCATACCCACAACAATGCATAGGAAGAACGTAAAGAGTTTGAGTGATCAGAAAGCAATAGAGAAGTACATAGACCACCAATTTATTCGTAGAAATTAGCAACAAATGTATTTCCTTTTTTATAATAAAAATATTTTTTTATGTTTATAAATGATTTGTTAATAATAATATCCTTTAATTTCATGGTAATTTTCAAAAAAGTCCCAATATTTTGGTTATTATGTAATTTTTGGAAAAGTCCCAAAATTTTGAGCAAACTAACGAAAAAGGACAGAATACCAGCAAAATCTGTGAAACCGGCCGAAAATGTTTTTTTCGAAGTTTTAACCGGTATTCTGTGCTTTTCTGTAAACAAAATTTAGTTTGGGACATTTTCATAAATTGAATTAAAATTTTAGGACTTTTCTGGAGATTTCCCAATTTATTTAAACAAAACTAAAGGTAAAAGAAAATAATAAGGGTAAAGAAGTCTTTTTACATGGATTGGACCAACCATGCAAGTTTTAGAAACCATAGGGATTACATTCGTCAAAACAAATTAGCAGGTACTGAGTTTATGACATTTGGTAAACCACAGACCATTTATGTAATTTTGTCTTACCAAAATAATCCATGCTCTTATTGAATTTTGATAACATTGTCATATGATTATGATAAAGAGAAAATACAAGGGTTCTCAAAGAAAAGCATAAAGACTACAAATAATAAAGCAGATATAAATACTAGCTAGACAGAAACCCTAATGGGCTAAAGACTAAAGGGCCCATAAACAAACGGACTAATAATATATAGACTAACATCCCCCCTCAAACTCACAATGCCGTAGCAATTAGCATGAAGAGTTTGTCACATAAGAACCGAAACCGAGAAGCCGATAAAGCCTTCGTAAAAATATCGGCAAGCTGCAAGATTGATGAAACAAATGGAAGCGAAATGGTCCCGAGTTGCAGGTGATGACGGGTAAAATGACAATCAATCTCAATGTGCTTTGTCCGCTCATGAAAAACAGAATTTTTCGCAATTTGTATCACACTTTTGTTATCACAATGCAAGCGAGTAGATGAAGAAATGTAAACTCCCATATCCGCAAGCAGCCACCGTAACCAGATAATCTCACATGTAGTTACAGCCATAGCACGATATTCAGCCTCCGTGGAAGATCTAGAGACAACGTCCTGTTTCTTGCTCTTCCATGAAATGAGAGACTCTCCAAGAAATACACTAAATCCAGTGGTGGACTTATGATCATGACGATCACCATCCAAATCAGCACGTAACTCAAGAGAAGACGCTGAGGGAAACAAGAGAGTCTGAAACTGAGTGCCACGAAGATATCTCAGAATACGAAGAACAGCTCCCCAATGAACAGAGGTAGGAGCAGTAACAAACTGACTGACAACATGAACAACATGAGCAATATCTGGACGAGTAACTGTGAGATAAACAAAACTTCCCACGACAGTGCGATAAAGATCCAGACCAGACAAAGGAACACCATCAGTAGGAGAATATCGTGCATTGGTTTCAAGAGGAGTATCAACAGTCCGATTGTCAGAGAGGCCCGCCCGTGTAAACAAGTCAGATATATATATTTAGTCTGGGAAAGAAGGTACCCTTTCTAAGACGGAGCAACCTCAATACCCAAGAAATAACGCAGCAAGCCCAAATCCTTCATATAAATCGATGAACTATATCATGCTTCAAAGACTCAATACCACCATGGTCATCACCTGTAATAATCATGTCATCCACATATAAGGACAGAAGAATCCGTCCTGCACTCGAGCTTCTAACAAACAGAGCAGAATCGTGATTACTCTGGACAAATCCAAGAGAGGTAATCACTGTGGAGAATTTCTCAAACCAAGCACGAGGGGCTTGCTTGAGCCCATACAAAGCTTTGCGAAGCCGACACACCTCACCCAGCCGGTGCTGAATTCCTGGGGGAGGAGTCATATAAACCTCTTCATGGAGGTCACCATTCAAAAAAGCATTCTTGACATCCATTTGAAAGACCTTCCACTGTCGGACGGATGCAACTGCAATCATAGTACGAACTGTCGTCATCTTTTGCAACTGGGGAAAATGTCTCCTCGTAGTCAAAACCATACTGTTGGGAATACCCTTTTGCTACAAGTCTAGCCTTGTACCGCTCAACAGAACCATCAACTTTTGTTTTTATCTTGTACACCCAACGACAACCTATCGTATGTTTCCCAGGAGGAAGAGAAACCAAATCCCATGTATGAGTCTGATGGAGAGCAGTGAGTTCTTTAGCCATAGCATTCTGCCAAAGAGGATCTAAAACAGCTTCTCTATATGATTCAGGTTCAGACATATGATGGATGCTTGCTATAAATGAAGCAAATGGTCCTGAATATGTAGAGTAAGAAAAATATGGTAGCTTGGTGGACTTGACAGGACGAGAAGATCTCCTGAGGGGTGGTGGTGGAGGTGGATCCTCAATTTCAATAATCGGAGGATCAGGCTCAGGAACAGGTGGAGTCGAGGCACCCTCTGAAGAAGTGGGTGTGTCATGAGCTGAGGGATCATGTGGCATAGATGAATCTCGAGCCTCTATATCTTCATTAAAAGGATCAATATGCAGAAGATCTGACTTCGTTACTTTGTGGGCTGTAGCAGGAATCGAGTAGAAAGGAATATGTTCCAAAAAAGTAACGTGACGGGAAACATATAACTTCTGACTCACAGGATCATAGCAACGGTGTCCTTTCTGTCCAATACCATACCCCAAAAATACACAAATAGCAGATTTCGGCCCCATCTTGTTCCTTTCAACATGAGGACGAAGAACAAAACAAGTACATCCAAAAACTCGTAGGGAAGAGTAGTCTGGTAGATGACCATATAACTTCTCAAAAGGAGACATTCCTGAATTAAATGAAGTAGGGATACGATTAATCACATACACAGTAGTTAGG